ACCACACTTTACTTCCATGTGGGAAGATCACAGTATATCTTTATCACATTGCTTGAGAGTTGTTTCCAGTTTCCAGCTTTCTGTTGAAGTTTGATTAGAAGAAACCTGGACTTGGTGCAGATCTCAAGTGCAATAATATGTCAAACATGGAAGAATAGGCTACTACAGACTTGAAAACAGTGGTGGCTCACATAACCAATAGAAGCTTGCTAGTAAATCCAACAAAAACTCCAAGGCCCTGCCCAAATGGTGAAGTTTGGGGGAACAACTGGCGACATTCTTCTAGCAACCAAGAAAAGTCACTTTCACTACGTAACCCCATGAGGCCTAGCATTTGGTTGGCCTAGTGGAATTTGAGAGAGCTTATATTCCATACCCGGGGTCTATGAAACCTCTCAAAGGAAAGTGAATGGAGGCCTAAAGAACAGCATGCTATAGCTTGAGTTACAGAAAGCAGTCTCATACTCCTGACCTTACCCACATTTAGACATGATTTTGGGGGTGTCTACCATATGTGCTTATGAAAATTGGAGTTCATGGCAAAAACCTAAGAATGCTACCCTATGACAGCCAGTGGTATTCTGGACTAGAAAGTTTCCAGAAGCTGCAACACAATACACACCATTTGAAAGGCAATGACTTGCCTGCTATAAGGCATGAGATTGCCTCAATGACAGAGGAGCACAAAATCCTCATGAGACCTGATATAACGTCTTAGATGATTACTCTTTGAATATAACACTCACACACACACACACATGAATATTCATCTCTGGATTTGTTTCACTAGTCAACGCGGACTAACACAGACCCTCTGAGAAACAGAATTCCAGTAAGGACTGCTCTAAGAGACTGCAGATGCTATGGACCGATTCCCGAGGGAGAGGCCCTGCATATAGCTGGCAAGTCAAGCATATTGGACCAATGGCACCAGAAGGCTATAAGTGGATCATCATAGGACTGAACACTTACTCCAAACAACTTTGCATATCCAGTAACACATGCAGATGCTAAAAATACAAAGGATTAAAAGAAAATTTACTGTACCAATTCAGACCACTAAGTTTTATCTGCTCAGACCAAGAAGCACACTGTACAGCCCACAGGTGCAGCACTGGGTCAAGAAACATAGTAGATGGACATGTCCATAAAAAGTGGACAGAGCAGAAAGGGGCATACCACCCCGTAGTAAGAGTTTGATAGAAAACTGTAATGGGTAGGTGAAGCATTTGTTAACCAAAATGCGGCAAGAAAAGGCATGAAGGACTGTTTTCACACTTTGAGTGTGTGCTCATATTCAACATGAAAGAGACAATGGGAAGAGTTACGTTTTTCAAGAGGGTCTAGGGAAGAGGGTGTTGGGGATGCTGGTGCCACTGTATACTTCTTATCCACGTTACCTTTCTGCTTTTTCTCTGCTGGATGCTGCAGTAACAGGACTACGGATGCAACTGCAAGTGCCAGAAGCAGAGATGATCCTTCAGTAAGAGACTAAATGATACCCCTGAACCTGTATACAAGAGTTCCCAACAGTCTCATGGGATGATTATACTTTCTCATCTGGCAAAACTGGGGTTGACTCTGAATAATGTCATATTGCTAAATGGTTGAGATAGTAGATAGTCCACTGGTCTTGCACCTGTGTAACCCCACCCCACATGAATGAGAATGAACTGAGGAAGAAGCAGTGCCACTTATAATCGAGACTGGCACAGCATGTGAACATGATGTCCTTTCCCACGGTGGAAGTTTGGGTAAAAATAAATGACAAATGGAAGAAGAGATAATAGCTGAAGGTAAAGGAATGAGTAAACAGGTTATGCAATGAGGGTAAATCTAATATTGTGCTTATTCCTCAAGTGAGATTCTGGACAAGAGAATAACCTCTATGTTCAAGTGTGAATGGGTTAATGACTAGAACCAGAGGCTGGCCTGGGTTGTAATCAATTAATATAGTCTTTCTAGCCTAATTCCATATGTGATATAATTCTTTTTGCCTGTGGCTATAATCCCATTTTGGTGTTCATTCTCTACTAATGGACAAGAGTAGGGTGTCATTAACACCTGACTTTAATAGAAAGGGTGAACCAAATCACACCCTTTGTTTTGGGGGACATCTCTAAGACTACTTTCTTACAGGGAGTGACTTAAGACATCACCCTTTGTTTTCCTCGGATGGCATATATATGCTGATATCACTGTGCAGTTCTTAAACATAGTACATCACTTGAAACCATACCTCTGTTTCCTGACTGAACTTTCGTAGAAGCATGAAGCCCTGCTGTGACTTTTGGACATTTTTGGTTTCCGGCTCTGGCCCTTGCATTTGTCTTTCCTCTGCCTGACCTTTAGATTTGGGACTGACAGCACAACACCCACCACCATATAAGACATTTCTTTCAAGGTTCATGAGTTTCTGTGGGATGTAATCATAAATTAGATTAGCATGAGATTAATAGTATTAGAAGATTGGACGGGTTATGGAATTATTATGTAAGAGCCTAACAGCACCCACATTAAATTGGGTGGTAATTTCTCTGGTGTCTAAATACTATTGTCTTTACCTGAGTATTTAGACTATCATTTAGACTATTTATGCCTTTGCTTTTTAAAAAAAAAAATGGACAGAGCAGAAGGGAAGACATAACCAACTTATGGAGATAATTATCTATAAAACATATTTCTATAAAACATAGGAAGTACAGTAGCTAGTGATGAATGTGCTGTCAAAAGGGTCTTTGTTTTTATTTTTGTGACTAGTTTTTAGATATACATAGGTGAGTTAGTTAATTGTGCCAACCTGGCCGATAAATCACATGTGGGGCTAATTGAAAGGCGGAGGGATAAATGGGTGGTGAGCCTCGCCTTTCTAGTTCTCG